TTAACCCGAGCCTTGGGGGTGAGGGTTATTGCTAGACAACACATAGGCAGGGAGGAACCAGAACAGCACCCAACCTCTACACCTAAGCCTACTCTGACCTCCTGATTCCCAGCCTGATGATTAGCACCTCCCACCTCAGATCTGTCCTGAACCTCATCCCTCTTACAGCTGACCTTTTCCTCCCTCAGTCCCGCTCAGTCAATCCCACTCACCAAGTAACTTTGAGAGCCCTGCTTGTGTCCACATCCTGCCCACACAGTGCTCCTGGACATAGCTGAGTACAGCTGTGTGTGCTCACAGTAATGATGGCTTGTCTCGTGGGTGCCCACTGAGTGATTTCTGGTGAGATAGGTGGCATTATTTCTGCTTCTGTAAAAGAGACTACAGAGTCCTTGTGTGGCGCTGTGGGCTAACGCACCAGACTGCAAAGTCATTTGAACCACAAGGTCGTTAGATCAAGCTCACCAGCCACTCCTTGGAAACCCTACACAGAGTCGCTATGATTGGAACCCAACTCAGCTGAGCTTAACAATAACAACAATAGAGAATGCATGGTGAATGTGAGGCCCCCAGAGCCAAGCTGTGTTCCCACCTCAGGCTATCTTTGGGGTAGGATGGAGGGACACATGTGTGAGAACACACCCTGTCTTTCCTACTCTAGAGGAGAGACTGGACTTGCTTATCTCTATATCCCCACAGAACCTAGAGAATGACCTGATTAAGCAAACCAAACTAGTTGAGTCCTATGTGTGTCAGAATAGAATTGTGTTCTGGTTTTTAGTGGCTAATTTTTCAGAAGATCACCAGGCTTTTCTTCTGAGGTGCCTCTGGGTGGACTTTTCCACAAACCTTTTGGTTAATAGCCAAGAAAGGTACTCTTAGCAAGTAGACACTCTGGAAATGATTAGATATGTCTTCCTCACACCTTTACCAAGAGGACAACAGCTCCACCTAGAGGCTGTTGAGGCTATCACTCTCCACACTAGATCAGGCTTTGTTATAAAGTATTGTTATTCTCATAGCAACTCTATGTAAAACAGAACAAAACACTGAGGGGTCCTGGGCCAATCTCACAGTTGTTGCCACACTTGAGCCTATTGATGCTGCCACTTGGCCATTCCGTCTCATTGTGGATCTTCTTCTTTTTTCTCTGACCCTCCACCTTCTTAAACATGATATCCTTCTCCAGCGACTGGTTTTTCCTGACAATATATATGTCTGAAGTATGAGAGATAAAGTCTGGCCATACTGGCCTCCAAGGAGCACTCTGGCTGCACTTCTTCCAAAATGGAACTATTGGTTCTTTTGGCAGCCCATGGCACTTTCAACATTCTCCTCCAACACCATAACTCAAAAGCATCAATTCTTCTGTGGTCTTCCTTTTGCGCTGTCCCGCTTTTACATACATGTGAGATTATTGAAAACACCATGACTTGGGTCAGGTGTGCCTTAGTCCTCAAGCTGACATCTTTGCTCTTCAACACTTTAAAAAGATCTTGTGCAGCAGATTTGCCTAATGCAATACATTGTTTGATTTCTTTGACTGCTGCTTCCGTGAATGTTGATAGTTGAATGAAGTCCTTGACAACTTCAGTCTTTTCTCTGTTGATAAAAATGTTGTTTATTGGTCTACTGGTGAGGATTTTTGTGTTCTTTACATTGAGATGCAATCCATACTGAAGGCTGTGGTTTTTGATCTTCATCAGTAAATATTTTAAGTCCTCTTCACTTTGAGCAAGCAAGGTTGCATCATCTGCATATTGTAGGTTGTTACGGAATTGTCCTCCAATCCTGATGCCATGTTTTTCTTCATATACCCAGCTTTTCGGATTATTTGCTCAGAATACAGGTTGAATACGTATGGTGAAAACAACATTGTTGTTAAGTAGGTTCCAACTCATAGCGACCTTGTATATAGGGTTTCTGAGGAGGGGTTGGTGAGCTTGCAGTCCAAACCAGCATGAACCCACAGTGCCACACCATACTGTCACCTTAAAAGATACTTGTTTAGAAAGGTGATTTTTACACCAGTGCAGGTTTTACATGCATCGTATCATTTTAGGAGCAAGTGCTTAAATATAAATTCTGATGTTTTGGAGTCTTCTTGACACTTTAGGAGGCTGTACCTCTACCTCTTTGCTGCCTTTATTCCCTGCCATAAGCCCCATTGTGTACCACTGTAGGATAAGTACTGGACTGTTAACCATAAAGCCAGCAGTTTAAACTCACAAACCAATAGGCCCCAGGGTTTTGGACTGCTTTGTGTTTTCTCTGCAGTGGTTACCGTCACTGCCTCTGTTCCTTTGGGTGATAGTCCCTAAGCCTCCTTGTTCCTGTGAGTCCTTGAAGATGAGCACATGGACCCCTCAATTTTAATATTTGATTACTAAAGGTTTCATTGTGAATGTCTTAAGGAACATGGTTCTCAGAAAGCAACAGTAGAGAAAAGACTGGGATAACCAAGTACAGAGAAACTTAAAGGGAAGCATCACTGTTCTTGGAGAAATCGTTTCTGAGACCATGAGATCTGTTTGCTGCTTTTTTATAACCTGAGGCTCAAAATGATTTTTCCCTGTGGTTCTTTATCCAACCTTTGTTTTGGGAAGCACTGGTGCTGTGTATTTTCCAAAACTTTTCTCTCAGACCTTGGGTGGAACATCAAACACATCAGTGAACAAAAGCACGGCTTCCTGCCTCAGATTAGTGTGATGCCCTTGGATAAAGCATTATATATTATGCAGCCTCCTTGCTTACAAAGTATATTGCTCAATGTTCATGTTTTTCGGCCTTCAGAAATTCCTGTCGGTTTCCAAAGTCATGGACAAGAGCAAGTTTTGTAGAATTTAGATTAGTCATAAAGCCAGCCTCCTTAAATATTCTGCCCTTTCAGTACTTGATTAGTCTGCCACTTGTAAATTTGTAACCTGAATCTTTTGGCTGTGGGGGGACAATGGTGAACATTGTTTAGTAATATAAATGTATGCCAATAGCCTTAAATCAGCTTAGGGAGAAAAGGAAGAAGGCATTCTAATGAATAAAACCTCAGCGATTTCTAATATGATAAACAGCATCTCCTACCACAGATTATCAAAATACAAAAAGGCTCATCTCCCACCCTCACCCCAGGGTCTGCTGTTGTCAACTAGATTGCAAAACTATACCGGCTCAATTGGAATTTCTATATGCTATAACAGTAGTAGATAAACAGCAGCTAGCAAGCATCATATTAGGCATCATGCTGAGTGCTTTTGCCTGCATTTTTTTTTTTTTTTAGCCTTTTGTTTTGAGTTGAGTGAAGGTTTACAGAGCAACTCAGTTTTCCATTCAACAATTCATACACATGTTGTTTCATGTCATTGATTTTAATCCCCACAATGTAACATCACTTACCCACCTTCCTTCACTGTGCTTCCTATTTGTGTTCTCCGGCTTTCCTAACCCTCTGAACTTCGTTCTTGAGTCAGTGTTGCCCTTTGGTTCTCAAATGGTTTATTATTCTACTGTGTTCCTGCTTCACTGTGTGGTTGTTCCTTATGGAGACTTGTCTGTTGTTTGCCTACAAATGGAGCCATGGGAGTGACTTCAGTCTCAAACCTGAAGGTTGACTTAGGGCCATAGACTCCGGGGTTCCGCCCATCTGTGCCCAACCAGTAAGCCTGGTCTTTTTTGTCATTTTGGGTTTTGTTCCACGTTTTGCTCCCATTCTTTTCCAGACCCACTACCATCAAATCATTTCTGACTCAGAGTGACTTTGTAGGACAGCAGAATTGCACTATAGGGTTTCCCAGACTAAATATTTATGGGAGCAGACAGCCTCATATTTCTCCTATGGAGTGACTGGTGGATTGGAGCCACTGACTTTGCAGTTAGCAGCCCAGTGCTTAATCCACAACACCATAAGGACACCGTCCATTCCACTCCATTCTATTTTGGACCTTCTAATGTGATTCCTTCCAGAGCGGTTGGTAGTGGTAGCTGGGCACCATCTAGTTCTTCTGGTCTCAGAGTCGTGGAGGCTGGTGTGTACATGGTCCAGCAGTCCGTTGGAATGATTGTTTCCATGTATCTTCAATTGTCTGCACTTTCCTCTGGACTGAGCGAGACCAATAGTTGCGCCTTAGTTGACCACTCACAACCTTTTAAAATCACAGTTACTACTCACCAGAGTAGGACCTAGAACATTGCCCCCATGGACTATGTTACACCAGATGACCTTGGTGGCCCCCCCATACTGTAGTTCTGAGCCCCTGGGCCCAGTGACTCATTTCCTCAAGGTGTTTATGTCTAAGAAGTTTTCTTTTCTTTGCCTCCTATATTTTGTCTGCATTCTTAATCATAGCCGCTAACCAAGAAGGTGGATTGTCATCACCTTTTTGTTTACCCCAGGTTTTCTTGGCTCCAGTGAGTGTAGGTCTGCTTTGGTACCAAGGGAACATGCGTAAAAGATATGGGTTCCATCTCGGCACCATCACTTGCTTGTAGAGGGCTGTGATAAAATGTGTTTGTGTCTCTGAGCCTGTTTTCCACCTATAAAATAAGAAACATTACTTTGTAGAGTTGTTACAATTACTTGGGAAAATATATATAAAAGACTAGCACAGTACTTTTGACTCATTTACAACTTCAGTGCCTTTCTGATGACCAGCTGTGCAGTAGAGCCTCAGGCAGCCAGCACTGGCTGAGGAAAAGTCGACTTTCTCTAGTACATGTTCTCCTGGTCTTCTCTCCTCCTGAGAGTTAGTTACTTCAGAGCACTTTCCAGGAGCTTATTTCTCCTAGACTCATAGAGCACTTGGCCCAGGAGGCAGGGACCGTTGAGGAGAATCTGTCTTAGTTTTACATATGTAGAAGTTGAGGCCCAGAGTCACATGCCTGCTGTCTTACAAGGAGTTTGTTAAAAAGCCAAGACCAAGTTTGCCTGTTTTATTCTGTGGCTCTATCCAGAACCAACCTGAGAATGATCTAAAGTTTTTTCGTTTTGTCTTTTCTTGTGCCAAAAGACTTCACCCCAAGAATTGTCTTGGTGTGCGCCAATTTGCCGAGACAATGATGTGTGCCGTACTGTATGACGCAGCCAACAGCTTCATCCACCAGCATTTTGTGGAGGTGTCCATGTCCGAAGAATTCCTAGCCCTGCCCTTGGAAGATGTGCTTGAGCTGGTGTCTCGGGATGAACTGAATGTAAAATCAGAGGAGCAGGTATTTAGAAGCACAGTAGCAGCCGAGATGTGACAAATGAAATATGGCTCTTTTTCAATCTCTTTTTTATTCTTACTTTTTGTAACGATAAGACCATGATGTGTATACAGGTGTGTCTCATGGGCTTTGTTTAAAAACTGTACTTTAAGGTTGATTTTCATCAACCCTAATTTCCTTATCCTTGGACTGTTGGATTATTTCTGAAACTTCCTGTTAGAAACCGTTTCAGTGAACTGGAAATAGCAGGTAGATAGTTTTATGAGAGTCTTGTTCTAAAGAAAAGCAGAGCATTGGAACAGTCATTGGAGGGGAATGTGAGATCAAGAGGTTTTTGTTCAGTTTTCTGAGGTGGGAGAAGTGACAGCATATTTAACGCTACTGAGAATTTTCCAGAAGAGAAAGAAGAATTGGTAATGTAGGAGAAAAGGGGATAGTTGTTGAAATGATGTCGTGGATTGAGTGAGAAGAGACAGGGTCTAGAACCCAAGGGAGTTTGTCTTTGCTAGGATCCCAGGCTGTTCATCCACCACATCAAGAGGGAGAACTGATGCGTACCTCCAGATGAGGAGGGAGTAGGGGGAGATGCTGGTAGGTGCTTATAAATGCGGTCTTCTGATTGGTTTGTGTTTTCTTAACTGAGTGAGGATCAGAGAAGTCTTAGAAATTTGTGAAGAGATGGAAAGGTGCGATATCATCCTTTGGGGGTGGGGGGGAGTAAAGGACAGACACTAGGGACACAGAGAGGGTTTAATAGGAAGCAGGGCCTGCCTAAGAGGAGGAGTCACCAATTTAAAGTGAACTGGTTAGTTCTGTTGTATGTTTTCTGTCAGCCACATTCAGCTGTATGGGTGCAGGTACATAGTAGAAGGATGACTTGAAGTCAAAGAACTAGATTTCACTAGAATAGAGATTTCTTTCGAGTTGAGTGTGATTGAGGATGAGGGGAGCATTTTGTTGCGATGCAGAAAGGAATAAGAAATTCTGATTAAGGGTTTTCATTAGGATGTGATCATGAAAACCAGGAAGCTGCTAATAGCAACCTCAACTTATGTTATTTATTCATTCTTTTTGTAACATTAAGATCATGATGTGTATAGAGACTGGACCAAATGGAGTAGCGGGGGAAATAGAAAGCAGTGGATTCAGATACATGCAGGAGTCAAGCAGGATTGGCTAAAGGGACTGCCTCAGTGTAGGAGTGGAGGTTGGAGATTGAGGAGTGCAAGATCTTGCCTCTGGTTGGGAAGAATTGCTGTGGTCAGGCAAAGCTTTTCTCTGCCTTGCCAGGTCTATGAAGCCGCACTGGCCTGGATCAGATACGACCGGGAGCAGAGGGGCACCTGCCTGCCTGAGTTGCTGTCCAATATCCGCCTGCCTCTCTGCCGACCCCAGTTCCTGTCAGACCGAGTGCAGCAGGATGACCTGGTGCGATGCTGTCACAAATGCAGGTGAGCAGGGGTGGACCTGTACAGGACGCTGCCAAGAACTGTGAGAAGAGAACTTGGCAGCTTCAGCCTCTTCTCCCTTAGGAGAGAGGGGATGTGGAGTGGTCAGTGTAAGTCATGGAACAAGGACTGGTCTGCGTGCTATGTAGAACCTGGAAGAGAAAGTGTTCAGAACCCAAGTCTTGCACATTAGACAGAGAAATGTACTATATGGAAGAATCTAGGAAGAAGGGACTTCCTTGACTATGTGGTTTGAGGATTTTCTAGCATATTCATATGTTGAGCTGTTTATGAAGCTCCCAGCCAATACATTCTACCTGTCCTTACTTTATCCACAGTAGCACTTGGTGGTGAATTATGACTGCCTGGGGCTCCTTGTCCTCCTCAGTAAATAGTAGTCAGTGGCCTGCCCTTAGGTGGGTATAGGGCTCAGCATCCACAGTACTAGGAGGGAGAACATGTGTACCAGCACATGAACCTTTAGCCAGAGTTAAATGTCAGTGTGAACATGGCAGAGCAGAGCTATCAAGACAGTTTAGAAAATGGTGGCTCTCTAGGAGAATTGTTTTTAAAAAGTAGATCAGAGAAAAATGTTTATCCCTCTTCACATTGCTTGTCATACTCATAGCAGTGATATTCTTTGTCTCCTTTCCTGGCATGATTATTTTACACATACTCAGATATCTTCATTATCCACCCCTAGCAGTGTGAAGTTCTGTTGTCAGGGAGGGATGGAAGTATGAGTGGAATTGGCTGGGGCCTTGTGACAGCAGTCTTGTGAGCACTGTATAAGAGTTTGAACTGTATTCTGAAGCCAGTGGATTGCTCTCAAAGATTCAACAGCAGGGAGTAGCATGGTGGCTCTGCGTTTAGAAAGCCAGATCGGAGTGGAGGCTGGTGACTGTGGAGTCAGGAACTCTGAGGAACTGTTGACTGCTGCTGCCACTGTCCAGACGAGAAGTGGTTAACGATAAGGTCACATGGTATGAACCCTGGTGCAGTCATAGGAAAAGGAAAAGTTGGATCTGAGTGGAGGGGGATGCAGGCTGATTTTGAACCTCCCCAAAGCCAGCCATTTTATCTGCCACCCTGTTCTTCTCATATCTGGTATGTCCATGTTAAAGAATAGTCATTTTTATCCCACCAGCCAAAGTAGACTCCACTTGTTTTGCCCTCCCGTTTTGAGCTAGTCTCAGTAGCCATGTGAGGCTACCCCAGGAGTTACCTTTGAAACCAACCCTCCTAGGATTCCTCTGCCCTTGGGGGAGGGGGAGCCAACCTCAGAGTGCAAATGTGGACCATGTGGGGAGGATACCTCCTATCCTGGCATCTTGCTCCTCATTCCAGGGACCTAGTAGATGAAGCAAAAGACTATCACCTGATGCCAGAACGCCGGCCTCACCTGCCAGCCTTCAGAACCCGGCCCCGCTGCTGTACATCCATTGCTGGCCTTATCTACGCCGTAGGTGGCCTCAACTCAGCAGGTATCTTGCAACTCCCCTTTGCTGACCCCTGGCTTGGACTTGGTGTACAAAGAGGCCACAGACAGTGTAGTCTAGCCCTTCTGGTTCCTCTCCTTGGTGCTTGCCACCAGCCTTGCCCCTTTTGATCTTACATAATTGTTCTTCAGTTAGAGCGTGTCAGGTATTAATGCCATTGATTCAGAGTATCAGTGCTAACTAAGTGCTGTTGGCCCTTAGAGATCCCTTACTTTACAGATGGGGCCATTGAGGCCTCGAGAACTCTCCCTATGCTCACACACATTGTTTTGGCTGCATAAGGACTAGAACTTGGGTGTCTTGGTGCTCCAGCCAGCACCCTTTCCCTAAAATCATGCTGGTTCCCAGCATTCACTCCGTTCTGGGTAGGATACAGTCAGAGACCCCACTCCCTTGCCGGCTAATCACAATCATCTGAATTAATCTTGGGTTAACTGTGAGTGTCACCATTCAAAAGAAGGTTCTCCAAATACACAGGGTCTGCCACTGTCACCAGTACCTTTTGCTCAGCTCTTCTCCTGTGACACACAATTGGCAGCCCTGAGTCGGAGGCGACTCAACTGCAGCAGGTGTAGTTTTAGTGTATTTCAGAGCCATGCTAGAGACTTTACTTACTATATTATTTAATCCTCAGAATAACTCTGCAATCGAGATTATCTGCATCTCACATTCAAGAACCAGAGAATCAGGGACACAAAGCAGCCTGCTTGGGGTCACCCAGTAGGAAATGAGAGTTGGCAGTGGAGCCTGGACCCTTCCCTCAGCAATGCCTCCTGCATGGGAGAAATAGCACATTGATTTGCATTTATCCTGGGCTCTAAGATAGAGTACTTAATTGTAACTGAGGACTGCCCTCCGTAGAAAGTAATGTTTTGTGTCTGATTCTGATTTTCCATAAGGAATTGGGTTTGGAGTTATCATGCTAGAAATTCCTTTTTTTGTTGTTTTTACTTTTTATTGTGAATTGGGTGGAGATTTACAGAGCAAATCAATTTTCCATTTAACAATTCATACACACTTTGTTTCTTGTCATTATGGCTGAAATTTCTTAATGGGTTCTTTAGGGAAGAGCTGATAGAACCAAGTCAAAATGTCCCAACTGATCAGTGCCCAATAGCTATGTCCCAAACATGTGGCCTCATGTGTTTTAATTTGAGTAGCAAATTTTTATGCAGGTGATTCCCTGAACGTGGTGGAAGTGTTTGACCCCATCGCCAACCGCTGGGAGAAGTGCCATCCCATGACAACAGCCCGTAGCCGAGTGGGTGTGGCTGTGGTGAACGGGCTTCTCTACGCCATCGGGGGCTACGATGGTCAGCTTAGGCTGAGCACTGTGGAGGTCTACAATCCAGAGACAGACACCTGGACCAGAGTGGGGAGCATGAATAGCAAGAGAAGGTATTCTGGAAGCCATTCGTGCCACCTGAGCACATACATTGAGTCCCTGGGGAGCGCCATGCTAGATGGGCAGGGTCCTATAACAAAGGGAAGCCCAAGCCATGGCCTGGTAACTTCCTGCACCCAGGCCAACCACTGCCACACGGCTCCTCCAGGGAGCCAGTCCCCCATCTACCTAAAAGTAAAATGAAGAACTTGGGGAGCTGACCCAGGGCAACCACTGCTGCACGGTTCCTCCAGGGAGCCAGCCCCCCATCTACCTAAAAGTAAAATGAGGAACTTGGGGAGCTGAGATGTCAAAGTTACTATTGTGTTAAATGCCAGATAAGAACTGAAAATATGTATTATGGAAGATTTGAGGAGAGACAGAGGACTAGAACATCTGGATTTCAGAGAAGAGGTGGGATTAAAATTGAAACGTGAAGGAGAAAGAAGATTTAACTTTTTTTAGACATGAAAGCAAATCCAAGGGTTTTCATTATACTTTCTTTTCATCCCCAGGTCCCGGCCCCTGCCACACCAGTGCTTTTGCTACCCCGGGATTATATGAACTAGAGCAGTGCTTTTTACTTTGGGGTCACATTCCCCTGGCCCTGGAGAACATGGGTGTTTGCAAGGCAGATTATGTCTGTACATCACTTAATGGATGTCAGCTACTTGTTTCTTCCACTACTTGCCCACTCACATTTCCTGTACAAGAAGTAGGATTAGTGGACATTCAAATAGTGCCTCCTTTTAGCCTTCCCAGTGCTAAAGTGACAGGTGGCATCTTTCCTCACATTAGACATGCTTGGGCAGTATGAGCTTTAGAGGGCTCAGGGTTTAACTGACAAGTTCTTCTGTCGGTGGTTTCACGTGAGGCACTCTTCAGAGAACTGACAGGAACAGAGCAATCCAAGGTCACCTGCCCATGTGCCATAAACTCTCCATTTAGCTCTTGTTTATTATGTTTCCTTGACATGTGCTTAACTTTAGAAAGGAAAAGTGATGTGAATTTAAGAAAGAGGGAGATTGAAAACCACGAGACCAAATTAATGCTCTCTAAGGGTCTTTCTGCTTTGTTGTTCTATGACCTCAGCACTCGCCTCACAGACCTCTTTGCTTGGCCACGCTTCAGGTCCTCTGTTTATAAGATCAAGTGACAAGAAAGAAAAGGTAGTGTGAAAGTTCTTTACCACATGAGAATGTAATGACCACAGTACACATACTCCATACTCAGCAGCATTGAAGTGTGTAGTCACAGGCTGAGAACAATCTGCCATTATACCAGTAAGACCCGATTCACAAAGTGGGATTATGTTCTGGAAGAAAAATAATTACACAAACATATATACATAGAAAAAAAAAAACACCGTATATACATAGAGAGAATCTTCTTTTCCCAAACCCATTCATGGTTCTTTCCTCCCACCACCCCAACCTTAATGCTCCCTCCTTCCTGTAACTTGACATTGAATTTTGGTGGCGTTGCTCCATATCCCCAACCCTGAGTGACGTGCTGCCTTTGACTGTGATCAGTTGTTCTACTTCTGGGCTACTTCCTTGTTTTAATGCCACAGGGTTTGGATTGGTGTCTGGGAGGGGTGTCCTCTGGGTATTCCTTTTCTTTGCTGTGGTTAATACCCTGTTGTTAATAGTGGGGGGCCAGCTGCCTTTCATCCCATTTAAATATAGGCTACTGTAGAATGTTCTTAGTCTCTTCTCTCCTAAAAATCCTCACAGCTGTCCATCCTGACAGTTGGTGACAACCTCCTTCCAACTGTCCCTGTCCTTCTCCTTTCCTCCAGTCTTCCACGCCACCTCCAGGAAGCTCTCTCACACTGGACAAGGCCAGCCCACACCAATCAGTATCTTCCTACTGTCTTCACATTGGATTGTACCACTTATTTGGTAGTGTTTTGTGACATCTCTTCATTCTCTCTCAAGATGCTGTTGAACCACTGTATTATTACTTAATTTTTATGTTTGTCTTATGTTTGCATCTAGAATAATAGTGAGTTTGTGTTTTCTCCACAGTCCTTGCTTAAGACAAGCCCTCTCCTTCTCTCTTACTGGTTTAGGAGGGCCATCACCATGTCCCTCAAAGGGACCGTGCACAGATCAGATGAGATTGCATGTGGATGTGCTTCAAAAACTGCGCATACACTTGAAAGAGGTTGACCTGATACATTGTACTTTCTTGAGTTCCACACCCAAATTCATTTTGAATTTTCTCTAGCATCAAATTTGAAAACAGTGGATCAGGCAATCTTTTTAACATCTTGTGAACCATGTGCAGAACGGAAGATTTGCATAATTGCCCCAGGCCCCTGGGTCTTTGGTACTGAAAGCCTGGTATGGTAGGCAGCATGGGAGTCAGGCCTGTCCCTGAGCAGTTTTCTTAGAGAGTCCAGCCTCCCTAAGCCACAGCTGCTTGTCTGTACAGTGGTGATAGCGGCCTGAAAATGGTACGTGTAGTGCACCTGACACATGTAGTGAAAACACAGCATACAGAAGCTATCGTAGCCATGCAGAGTCATGTCTGTAATGAAAAACATTTGGCAGATGTTATGGTGAATTGAGTGGTTAAACCAGGAGGTATTCCGACAAGCACGTATTGAGGGCCTGATACGTACAAAACACCACATTAAGTGCTGTCAGGATGCTCCCACTTGTTAAGAGGCTTACTAATACCTGGCTGTGGGGCCAGAACATCAGCACCTTGTGGGCAGGGACACCAGCTTGCCTACCACTCCAAACCTATGCTTGGGTCAGCGCACCTTGTGAGTGCCTAGTGAAAATTCGGAGTTGAATGAATAAGGAACTATGATGTAGTACTGTAATAAAGCCTCTCCGGGAGTGTGAGGTCAAGAGAGAGTGAGTAATTCTTGTTGCGTGATCCATAACAGCTATTTTGAGGAGAAAAGGGAAAAGGAATTTGACCTAAGCCTTGAAGGCAAATTGGACTATCAGCACACGAGGTGGAAAATGAGCATTTTGAACAGATCCAAAGCTGAAAAGAGGGGGAAAAGAGAGGTAGCCCAGGACCAAGACTTGGGGACCAGAGGAGTCACAGGGAAACTTCTGTCATTCCACCTTTACTTGGTCACATACCTGGAACTCAGTATATTCTAAAACAGGTTAATAATAGATTGTAAGGTTTACTTCTTGGTGAGCCAGCAAATCTGTGACCCATCTGAGATGAAGCTCTGTATGTTGCAGTGCCATGGGGACAGTCGTGCTGGATGGACAGATCTATGTCTGTGGGGGCTATGATGGCAACTCCTCCCTCAACTCTGTGGAGACCTACTCACCTGAGACAGACAAGTAAGGACTGCAGTTCCCCTGGGGCAGCTGGGACTTCTTAAACAGAGACTACGAAAAGTTAGAACTGCAGTGTTTTATTTACGCTTCTCAGGGGTAGAGAATCTTAACATTTTTATCCCCTATAGAACCTTGCACATGATTGTTGTTGTTAAGTGCCATCGAGTCTGTTCCAGCCAATAGCTACCCTGTATAGGGTTTTTGAGGAGCAGCTGGTGAACTTGAACCACTGACCCTGCAGTTCAAATGACTTTGTAGTCCAGTGCATTAATTAGGATAAGCACTGGAACGCAAGGTCGGTTTGAACCATAAGGTTGGTGGTTCAAACCCACCAGGTGCTCCTTGGAAACACTATATAGGGTCACTATGATTCAGAACCTACTCAACAACACATAATAGCAACAATAGTTAAATAAAAGAATGTTGAATAAATGGTAAATAGACTGTATAGGTACTTGGAAACATTTGTTTAATGGTCCACTCTTAGCTAAATATAGTTGAAAGGGCCTAAGAAATAGCGGAGCAGTGGTTTTTTTTTTTAAGTGGGTAGGATATGATTGGAGTAGGAGGGAGGAAAAAAAATAAGTTTGGGAAATGTCACCTATACCACCAGTCTTTCTTCTTCCATAACACATCCTAATATTTTAAAGGCTCTGGAAAATTCCGTGGTTAAGAAATCTGTTTAATTCTAGTGCTTAATATTACTATTTTGTGGCATTAATTTTTTGTGGAAGCACTATTAAAATTAGCCTCAGTTTTATCTTTATAGTACTTTGAAATTATGTAACAGTATATAAGCATACGAGTTGAATGGAATCGGCAGTGTGCTTTTAAGCTCTTGTCATTCCATTCGCTTAGCGCTTTCAGACAGCAAGCTAGCTGTCCGAGGCCTGTATGTAGTGGGGCTGGTCTAGTGGGGTTGCAGGTGCATCCTGATCATCTTACCCTGGAGGCCTGTGTCCAGCACAGCTGGTGCAGAGGGAAATGCCTTAATCTTCCCTGGGGTTGTGAGGAAAGGCACGGTGGACAGGCGTCGTGTACAGTGAGACCCACGTGCACTGACAGTGGGAGCTGTGCATTGTAGGAGACAGCAAGAAGAGCATCCCCAAATAAGAAAGTGCTCGGTGTGCTTAAGGACAGTAGTCATCATCCAGTGGACTGGAGCGCCAGGTGTGGAAGGGAAACAGGGCAGCATACAGAACCACATCAAGGATCTTGGGTTCTGACTTCAAATAATCAGCCAAGAGCCCCAGGAGGGACACACTGTGCAGCATCAGAGTGGGAGTATGCCGAAAGGTAGACCACCGTGAAGAAGGCAGTTACAGTGGTCCAGACAACAGACTGGAGCTAGGGCAGGAGCAGTAGGGATGGGAACAAGTGATGACTAGAAATCAAACTAGTCGGGACTTTGTGACCACGGGAAGGTTGAGGCTAAGAGAAAAGAAGCCAAAGAAAACACTGAGTTTTGTCATTTCAGCAGCAAGGTTGTTGGTGGTCCCATTAATACGTCTAGGGTGTGCAGGACAAGAACAGATCTGTAAGAGAGTGAGGCCTTATCTGGGACATGCTGATTTTGAGTGTCCACAGTAGTGAGCCAAGAAGACTAGCTATGGGCCTGGAGCTTGAGTGATAGGCAGCAGCCAGAGAGAGCAGTCAACATAGCTGGTGGGGAGAAACGATTGGAAGAGACGTCCAGGGCGCATGAGGACTCAGCGCAGTTCACCCAAACCCTGCTCCACAGTGAGGGAGGACAGGAACACCCACTGTCATGCTTTCTCTCCTCCTTTGGTTCTCCTTGAAGGTGGACAGTGGTGACCCCGATGAGCTCAAATCGCAGTGCTGCTGGGGTCACAGTCTTTGAGGGCAGGATATACGTATCGGGAGGCCACGACGGCTTGCAGATCTTCAACAGTGTGAGTCTGGGCTCTTCTGGGCTAAGGGGGCCGACTTCTTCCATCTCAAGAGCTATTTTGAAAGATGATTGTTTGAAAAAACAGCCTTGCCATGGCTGGACAAAGCAACCTCTAGTGAGATTTTGGGAGTCCTGGTATGGCGCTATAGGATACCACTGGACTACAAGGTCAGCATTTCAAACCCACCAGCCACTCCTTGGAAACCCTGTGAGGGTCATTGTGAGTCGGAACTGACTCCATGGCACTTAACAACAAGTGAAATTTCAGGAGTCCTGCTGTGGCACTATAGGATAAGCATTGAACCACCCACAAGGTCAGAGGTTCAAACTCACCAGCCACTCCTCTACAGGGTCAGTATAAGTTGAAACTGACTTGATACCACTTAACAAATAACAGTGACGTTTCAAGGCTTCCTCTGCATGCTTGCAAAGTCTTAAGTTCTGAAGAAAGGGTGCATGCCAGTGTCCACAGAACCTAAAGTAGGAATAAAGCATTGCCGTGCTACACCCCTACCCTGTTCAGCCGTCTGCTATAGACTGATGAGACCTAGTGAAATCCGTGCCCAGAGTAATCTCAAACATGGAGTGTATATATTTGAAAATATTTGTGTTCTTCTGGATGATGTGCTTGAAGTTGCATTTTTTTTCTTCAAACAGTTCAACTGCCATTGAGTGGTGAAATGCTACCTGGACAGAATTCAGAAGACCAGCTCCCATGCTGGCTCTGTCCTACACAGCAATGAATCCTTGGGCAAATCCTCTTTCATTGTAAACAGAAGGGGTCAGGTTAGGACATCACTCATCTGTCCCTATAAGCCCAAAACCAGGTAGCAGAGTTCCTCATCTCCATGTCACCCCCCCTGTGGGCTTTGTGGACTCTTGATTATCCTGTCCCTGTGTCTCTCTCCTTGCTGTAGGTGGAGCACTACAACCACCACACAACCACCTGGCACCCGGCAGCAGGAATGCTCAACAAGCGTTGTCGGCACGGCGCTGCCTCCCTGGGAAGCAAGATGTTCGTCTGTGGGGGCTATGATGGCTCTGGCTTCCTCAGCCTCGCTGAGATGTATAACTCGGTGACAGACCAGTGGTGCCTGATAATCCCCATGCACAGGCGTCGGAGTCGAGTCTCCCTTGTGGCCAGCTGTGGACGCCTTTACGCTGTGGGGGGTTATGATGGACAGTCAAACCTCAGCTCAGTGGAGATGTATGACCCAGAGACGGACCGCTGGACATTTATGGCCCCCATGGCATGTCATGAGGGAGGAGTTGGTGTGGGCTGCATCCCTCTCCTTACCATTTAAGGCAAGAGTAGGATGTAGTGGGGTAGGGATCTGGTACAAACATAGGCGCTTCCTTCCAGGATCAATCCCTTTCGGGAGAAGCAGTGAACCAGAACATGGGATGAAATATGAGCTCTCTCCAGAAGTACGTTTCTTCCAGGTGCTTAAGCTCTCCCTCGTTGTGCTGCCCTTGTGACCTTCAGGCCTAGGTCATCAATATGCACAACATGGGACAGAAGTCCCTCTGGTTCCTGGCAGCTTGTGACACGGAACTGCTCTGCTGGTCCACACCTACACCGGCTCATCACTTAGTGATGTTCTTCCTCACCTAGTGGTTGTTTAGCCATGATGTGGCCAGTTTGCCATGGGATGGCTGCAGGGGCCAAGCCTGTTGGAAACTGTGGATATGGTTGGGAGAGGAAGTCCACCCTGGCGGTGATGTCACTGCCGTGTGCTAACAGCACACTCCTTCCACTGTAGTCCACAAAGGCTTGGCCTCACCCTAGGGTGAGCAGCAGACCAAAAGTTTCCCTGTGTCTAATTTTGGGATTTGAGGGAGGGTTTTGGTTTTTTGCTTTTGTTTTTATTAATTTCATCTTGTTCAGGAGAAACAGAGGAAGAGTGGGGGAAGGATACTTGAAAGAAACTGAGAAAACGAAACAAAAAACACTTGAAAGAAATTGGAAAGAAAAAGCATTTTTTAAATGAACTTTTTGCAGGAAGAAAACATTATAAAAGACACTAAAGGCAAATAGGTATGTACATGAAAACCTGCCAGACGTGCAAAGGGCTGCATCCATTCCAACCTTTGGATCCCAGGGTCCTGAGACCTGACAGCACGTGAGCGTCCCTCTGAGACTCAGCGTGTCAATGCTTTCTCAGCTGGACCTGTAGCAGGGTGCTCGTGGGGTTAGTCTTCACATCCATTGTCAGAGGACTTTTGTAATCATGGGTTCAGCCAGTTGCTGAATTTCTGCTGCTCTTCTGGCCCTGAGCCCCTAGCTTGGCTCTGAAGCTCCTGTGATTCCCTAACACTCCCACTGTGGCGCTCCTTCCCTTTCTGTGGTTTCTTCCCCTTTTTGACCAGCAGGAAACGGCAGACCTGGCCAGATTCTCACTTTTCTGCCTGTTGTTCATGGATAATTTCCCCCATTATGATGCGTCTGGGGCGCATTGACCATTGGTACCTCTAGTATCTAATCAGTGGCTTGCTCCTTCCACCAGCTGGGAACTGGTCTGGCTCAGTGCCGTCATCTGCCCTGCCAGTCCACCGCTCCTCCATCCACCCACCAATTCCAGGGGTCTGGTCTCCCTCCAGCCCTTGGCAGACCGACCAGCACAATGGACCTTTAGAGTCAAGCAAAGCTGGCTTTACACCTCAAAGGACTAAAGGCCGAAAGAATCTCTTGCTGCTGAAAAGAACAGTGTTTTATATTTCCTCCTCTAACCTTGGTAAACGACTTCTTGAAGGGACTCCATGCTCTTTGTTCCTCACCCTCCTCTCTTGGTGGGACCTTGATGTAGCACTGTGGGGTCCTGACAAGAGTACACTTCCTCTTACCAGTGCACTGGGCAGTGGAGCCATTTCCATCCCTCCAGTTGGACAAGTGTAAGCAAATCATAAAGTCTTTGGTGTACTCCAAGCCTTTTTCCTTCAACTGCTGCTGCCAAAATCTGGTTTTCTAAAATTCTTCCAGTAGAGACTAAAGGAGGAAATGATTCCTTTAACCCAAGGCTGGATCTTAGAGTCCCAGCTCTCCATCTGAGTGCCCTCCTCAACTCTGCTGCCTGCCTGGGGTGACCTGGAAGCCCGGCCAGAGAGACACTCGGCGGAGCCTGAGGAGGCTTTCCTGCCCCGGGACCTTCAGGTTTACCAGTGTATGTGATCGCCATGCCTTCAGGGGGAAGGACCTTGGTTAACTGAAACTTTTAGGAGCTGGGTCTCTGCTACAAGCACTTGAAAATGATGTTTTTTAAAGACTCAACAATCTGATCTAGTCTAATGGGGGTTCATGGTGGAACTCCAGCATTTCTCACCCTGTCCTCACATCTCATGTGCTTCCCTTGTGCTGGGTTTGCCTGCGCTGCAGACTCAGATGGAGGTCAGGCTCCATATTGGTTAGGAGTGTATTAGTGTTCATCTTATTATTATAAGCTCCTTTCTTTGTGAATTTGAAGTAGCACTTATGAACCTCAATTGCTAAAGGGGTTAGAGTCAATACTGAATGGACCTCATTGTGTCCTTTTAATGCCTGCCCCAAATTTTACAATTGGGTACAGATGGATCATTTTCCCAGGGGCTGGAGTTCTGTTGAAGTGGGCTTCCTGAGGCCACTTCCACCCTCCCATCTCCTGGGGTAGGAGTTACACTGCTGTACCTGAGGTCAAGATTTCCAAGTAAGATCCAGGCTCCAAACACTAGTGAGCAAACGTTTTCACCCCTTCATTGGTTCCTTAGTCTGATGGTAGATGACTTTTGGAAAATGGCTAATCTGGCTCTTTGGTGTTGAAACCCTTCTAGTAGCATTGAAGGAAGAGGCATCCCCCCTAGGATGTTATGAAAAGAGCAGGGAGAACAGAACTGTACTCAGCGGGCCCTGGGGTCTAGCCAGCTCTTAAGACTACGGTGTCCACTGTACTCGGGTCTTTCCGCATCTTGAATAATATATGTCAAAGCCAGGTTGGAAGCTGAAGACCAGCTTCCTGACTTAACACAGAGATGTGACTGGGTAGGAGTTCTGCCCTTCCCCAATTTATTTCCCAGAAAATCGTATCTCCTTTTATTTATAGAACGCATGTCTTTTGTGTTAAGAAACCAAAGAGAAATAAAGAGGACACTTCTAATATCTTCTTGACCTTTCTTGATTTTACTTTTGTTTTATTGTAAAGTAATATGTAGTGAAACAATTGTCATTTTGACTGTTTTTACATGTACAATTCAGTGACATTGTGTTTACCATGTTATGCAACCTTACCTGTCACCATTATCTATCTACAAAGTTTTCATCACCTTAACCAGAAAGTCAGCACCCCATAAAGCAATAACTCCCCATTTTCCCTTCCCACCTGCTCCTGGAAAAACCTTAAATAAACTTTGGTCCCTGTGAATTTACTTGCTCTAGATATTTCATATAAATGGGGTCTTTAAATACCTGTATTTTGTGACAGCTTATTTCACTCTGCTTAATGTTTTCCAAGTTCATGCATGTGATAGCATGTTTCAGAATGTCATTTCTCTCCAAAGAATATCTTATTAAGTGTGTCACCACATTCCGTGTATCCACTCAACTTGGGCTATTTCCCATTTAAAAAAAAAAAAAGTATAAGAAGTAAATCAGGTCCACAGGTGACGCAGATGGTTTGTGCTCAGTGGCTAAAGACTGGCAGTTTTAACCCACCCCGCTGTTCTGCAGAAGGATAGACAGTCTGCTTCCACTGAGATTACAGCCAAGACTGCCTTATGGCTGTGGCATACTTAAGAAATTTGGGGGGGGGCAATGAGACTTAGTTATTGGGAGTAATACAACCAGAATGGAAGTTCTGAAAACAGTGATGTAATGTAAAGAATGTCACCAGTGTCACTGAACATAGCTATGATAACTCAAAAAATTTTGCTCCTTAGGTTCCGTGGGCTGATTCCAAATAAAATGTGTTTACACTTATCTCTAAGGAGCTCTGGTAGCGTAGTGGCCACGAATCAGGCTGCTAACCTCAGGGTCAGCAGTTTGAAACTACCAGCTGTTCTGCGGGAGAAAGATGAGGCTTTCTGCTCCCGTAAAGATTTACAGCCTCGGAAACCCTGTGCAGGGTCGCTATGAGTCAGAACCGACTCCATGGCACAACAACACGTATCTGTCATCAGCGGATGGCTGCAGACAAGTTCTCTCAGTGATAACACTCGTCTTTGTCTCATTAAGTGCCACCAAGTTGGTTATGACTCATAGTGACCCTGTATAGGGTATCCGAGGCTTTCAATCTTCAAGGAAGCAGAAAGTCTCATCTTTCTCCCATGGAGTGACTAGCAAGCTCAAACTGCTGGCCTGTGGTTTTCAGTGCAGTGTTTACTGTATGGAGCCACTGCGCTCCCGTATCTCACTGAGGTACCTTAAAAAAAATATCTTCAGTCAGAGCAGTGACTTTTCAGGGGGTGTTTCTGGTCCAGTTAAATTAAAAGTAAAAGGTCAGTTCAGAAAGTTATGGGCACTGCGTTTTAAAAATCTCAAGGGGTAATCTTGATAGATTCTTCTCAAAAGATACAGGACAATCACAGGGGCTTAATAGAAGTTTTAGAAAATTGAAAACTGCTTTGGTGAAGAAAAGGCCAGGAAAGTTGTGTCGAGGTATTTTGTTTATCCATCAGGACAACACATCTGCCCACTCTTCAAGGGTAGTAAGTGCTGTCCTAGGAGAATTTCATTGGAAAACCTTACCCACCCACCCTACAGCCCTGGTCTTGCTCCTTCAGACTTCTTTTTGTCCCCCAAACCAAACATTTCAAAGGAACACAATTTGAATCCCTTGAGAATACCGAAGCTGCTTATTAGATGTGATGCAAATCAAAAAGGGCAGAATTCTTCAGGGAAGGGTGGTTAAGTGTCTTCAAGTCTGTTCCAACTCATAATGACCCAGTATAGGGTTCCCGAGGAGCGCTGGTGAATTTGAAGCCAGCCTTGCAATTAGCAGTACAGTGCTTAGCATAGTGCTACACCAGGCAAACCCTGCCTTCAGAAGTGTATAGACGTACATGGAGGATATGGTGAGAAACAGTAACTTAACATTTTAATGTTTTTGTTTTATTTCAATGTTTAATGGCTCGTATGACTGTATGGCATCCTAGTGTGGCACTGTAGGATAAGCACTGTACCACAAGGTCATTTGACCTGTAAGATCAGTGGTTCAAACTCAACAGCTGCTCCTTGGAAACCCTACATAGGATCCCTATGAGTCAGAACCAACTCGACAGCATTTAACAACAACATTATTGTGTAGCAGTGCTTTGTGATTTGCCCTTACATAGAAATTGTTGAATTGGAATATGTTTTGTGCTGTGTGTGTTTTCACCAAAAATACAGTGAATTTTTTTTTTTTTTTTAACCTACGGAGCAGTTCTATTCTTAACACATGGGGTTGCCATAAAGTGAAGTCTACTCAATGGCAAGAACAACAGAAATAAATAATATTTATTGTGATTCCGAGGGGAAAAAAATTCCTTAAATAGAAATATTTTTGTGAAAAGAGGAAAACATGTTAAAAAAAAAAAAAAGGCAGACTTTGAAGAAATGTGTATTTTTTCTAAGAATGGG